CTGATTCACAGGAGTGTCTCCAATCAGACCCGGAAGCAGCTAATGCGCAGGAGACTGTGTGCAACATTCAGCATTGCTTGGTCTACCATGACATTCTCATCAACGTTGAGGAAAAGAGAAAGAAATGATCAAATAAAATAAAGAGCCATGGATAATTAGGCAACACACAACACACGTCTCATAACTGTTGCAAGCATCAATAATAATAATAATACATTTTATTCCATATTGCACCTTTAAATGCAGCTTCTCAAGCCGCTTTACAAAGAAATAAGCAATATATATAAAAAAAGAATGAACAAGCAAATTAAGACTATGACTAAGACTACAATTATTAATATTTACTTCTACTATTATTATTATTTCATGTTATTGGCTGATTCATTAATTTAATTACTAATTGGACCAATACATTCAAATACGAAATAATACTTGATCATAATTAGGGTTGAAAAGGGGTGGAACATTTCCGGAAACTTTCTAAAAATCCCTGGAATATTGCCCAAAATCCTGGCAAGTTTCCAAATATAAATTTACTGGACATTTTCCACCTTTTTGCAGCCCTAATCATAATTATCATATATAATTTTAGAAATGTATTTATATTCATTCACTTATTAATTAGGTCAGTACATTAATAATAAATGAAATAAACTAAATTAAACTAAACAAGCAAACAAAAGTAATACTAAGTAAACACTCAAAATATTTGATGATAAAATGTTCAATATAATCTTATTAATAACTTTAACCTAAACTAACACTAAACGAATACTGAATGATATGATAAAAATTATCAATACAACTTTATTAACTGATTCACACTGACCAAATATACTTAACTTAATAATTAACCTGGTTATGTAATCTAATAAATAAAATTTGAATATATACATTAAATGAATATTAAATACTGAATAATACTTGACTGTCAGTATCATTTTATTAATTAATTTGACTGATTGATTTATATGAACTGAATTATTTACTGGACCAATACATTAATACTAAATTAAATTATAATAAATAAACTTAATATTAAAATTGATAATAAAAATGATCAATATAATCGTATTAATATCTTTAGCCTGACATCAATAACAGTTTAAAACTTATTTTAACCTTGTTTTCTGCTAAATATGTTATTGCAATGAATTTATTCAAATACTTTTGCTGTATTTATTTGACATGAATGTGCATCTGGGTTTTCCATACATACAGAAGATACGCACAGTATGCATCCTACAAATATAGTTAGATTACTATAGTAATATGCTATTTTGAACGTAACTGCAGTCCAGTCTATTCAATTGCACGTCCCCTCGTAAAAAGAAATCTGATATTCCTGTTTTTTGCTTCCTCTCGGCCGTCAGCTGCAGCAGATCTCATTCTCCATGCATACATCTCACACACCTTCCAGAACCGCAAAATACGAGGAAGAGAACTGCATGACGTCAGTCTGAAGTCACAATGCACAGACCAGAATGCACTAATGACAGGGTTACTTTGAGCACCAACAATGCCTCTGGACAATATGCATGCTAGTATATTAACACATCACTGTGACAGATGCAGAAATGTCCTTTAACGCCTGTAAATATCTTACATTCATGCATGCAACCCAATTATTCAAAGGGACTTTTCAATGCATTCAAGGTAAACATTTCATCACTTCATGCATTTGAAAATGTGAGAGGTGTTTGCATGTGTGATTTTAGTGTTAGTGCATCACTAATAAGAGGGTAAGAGAGTCCAGTGGTGTGGCATTACACAGCTCTCTCCACATGCCGTCTCATAGAGGAGCTGGAAAGGTCATCAACACCGCGAGGAACAAATGACCACATTATAACAAACCATATTTGAAAGGCATATCGCCTGCATAACCAAATACAGGAAGCTGAATTTAAGATCTTGGTCAGTAAGTTTGCCAGGAACACCGGAAATGCAACACAACACTTTCCAGCAGAATGTAAATTGTCAGTGCATGCTGAAACTGAAAATGCTGCATGACAATATATTTCACATATTTGTTGTTTTGTCACATATTTGAATAAATGTTCCCTTTATGTGAATCAGGTTTGTGCACTGCAAAAAAATCTTAATGAGTATGTTTGTCTTATTTTTCAGTTAAAATATCTTAAATCCTTAAAATCAAATGTATTTCTTCAAGAAGTAATTCTGCAAACAACTTCACGATATTTTCCAAAGGGAAATTATGTTTTCAAGCTCTAAAAATGAACATACTCTATAATGGTAGGCAGGATTTTGGAATGTTTTTTAAAGTCTCTTCTGCGCAGCAAGGCTGCATTTGATCAAAATACAATATTGTGAAATATTACTACAATTGAAAATAACTGATTTCTATTTTAATATATTTATTTCACATATTTAATCTTTTTTTCCCTTTACGTGAACCAGGGTTTTGCACAGCAAAAAATTCTTAATGAGTATTTTTGTTTTGTTTTCCAGTTAAAATATCTCAAAATAAAATAAATTTACTCAAGCAATATTGCATGCAATTTTAAGATATACGATTTTTCAGTTTCTTGAAAATAAGTGTATTTTGTCTTACTGCACTGGTAGATTCTTTTTTTCCAGTTTTAATATTTTTTTATTCCATTTGAAATCATGAAATTTGTACAATTTAATATCAATTATCATTATAATTTAATACAATTATATTAAAAGTAATTAAAAGTAGTCAGTTGAATTCGTAAAGCTGTTAATGT